GACCCCCTTGTCAGCGGCGGCTCCATCGGAGGCAGCGGCGCCCTGTTCGTCGCCCCGCCCTTGTCAGAGATGCCCAACTTCTCCCATGCCGTCGTATCGATGGAATCATCCTCCATGCTTGCATCCGCCTCCTTGTCGCCGTCCAGGTTGCCGTCGCGCCCCTCCTCACCCCTGTCTTTGTCAGTTGGAGAAGGAGGGTTTGGAGAAGGCAGGGCAGGCGCCGCGAGATGCTCCGGGGGAAGTTCGGGCTCGATGGTGATGTTGAAGCCCTCATCGTTGAACCAGATCTGGACTAGACCACGCAGTTTGCGGGGGTTGCGGCATCCGAAACGCATACGGACTGGCCCCGGGCGAGTGAGGGACTCCTCATCCACCAGCAGGGGACGGCCGAGCATGGTGGTGGCCGCCATGAGCAGGTCGGAGCGCCGTTGCTTGGGAGGGATTCCTCCCAGTTTGACCCACACCTCTGGCATCGTCATTCCCTTGGGGGCGTCGAGGACCGCGTCGCGGATGTCCACCATGAGGTTGTTGAGGGAGAGGAACAACTTGCCGCTCCTAGTTGCCATCCGGAGCATCACCGGATCAGGGAAGACCACCGAGAACGCCCCTCCCTCCATAGCTGAGATCTGCCAGTCCCATTCGCCCTCGAAGAGGTGTGGTAGCTCCACTTATAGAATCTCTTGGGTGAGCACGCCGGAAGGCATGGAGAGCACAACCGCGTTGGCCCCCAGCTGGATCTGCGGCTCCTCCCTCGAATCATCCGGGTACTGGAGGCAGAAGAAGCCCTCGCCGGAGATGGCATATCCCATGGTTTGGAGGAGCAGAGGCTTGCCCCGGGTCGGGCACTGCGCTGATGTGTGCCCCTCCTTGGTGCACACCACGCATAGAGGCTTGAAGGTGCAGAGGTTCTGAAAATGGCCCGTGCGCCCGCATCGGAAGCATTCAGGTCCGTCGGCTTCCTCGATCGGGATTGGCTCCGCCTCCGTGCCCTTGGATGAGCCTGGCACCTCAGATCTGGGCGGGAGAGGCAGCTTGGAGGCCGTCGCCCCCGCAGGCTTGGATTTCTTCTTCACGTGGGAGTCGCCGCCCCGGTCGCCGCCCGTCGCTGGTTGCATCCCCTTGCGCTTGAGCTCGAGGCCGCGCTGCTTGTACTCCGCCTTCTTCTTTTTCTTCCTTTCCTGTTCCTTGAGCCACCACGCAGGCGGTGGCCCCCAACCCCCCTCGTCGTCGGCGCGGCCACGGTTGCGGTCCCGCGGTGGCTCCATGGGAGGCTTTTCCCCGGCGATCTTGCTTGGAACCCATCGCCACTACTTCAGCAAAGGTGCGCCTCAGTGGGGAAGGGAGTGGAGTGGGTGAGAGGAATCGGGCGAGACGACCGAAGCGCCGCGGTGGCTGGGAAACCTAGCGAGGGATTTAGGGTTCCGCGGGGGATCCAGAGCCATTTATGTGCCCTCTCTGGGCTGGGCTGGATGGGCTGGATCGCCCCCTGTGGGTCGGGCTGGGTCCTGGGGACAGGAATGCTTCCCTGCACCACGCGCGCGTCAGGGGACTGGGCCCCAGCCCGCGCCACCACCGCATTTGGGCCGTCCACCACCCGCGTGGGCTGGCCCGACTGGACCGCTGGCTGGTCCGCCCCAACCCTAGGGTTGACCACGCCCAGCGTCGTCCGTGCCGCCGCCGCCGCCGCCACGGGGGACGCCGGCGCCGGACACGACTGGTCTGCCGCGAGCTGCAGGAGCAGCCCCGCGTCAGGCGCAGCCAGGTTGCCGCGACCCTCGCGGCGCCACACCGAGTGAGCCGCTCTGAGCGCCGCCGCATCGACCCACCGCGAGCCACGGCCCCCGGGCGCAAACGCACGACGGCGCCCGGCCTTGAGAGAGCCCCCGAGCTCCTCTGCCAGCGACACGAAGTCGCCAAGGGAGCAGGCCGCACGGCCCCCTGCCCCCGGCGCCACCGCGTCGCCTAACTCCGCCTCCTTGTCCCAGTCCGACTCGTCCTCCGCCAGCGCCCAAAAGCGGCTTCCCGACCACCCAGCGACGCCTAGGGGGGGCGCAGCCGCCCGCCTGGGGACTGGGGCGCGAGCCGCCGCCCAGCCAGCCTCCGGGTCCTCCGCCGGGGCCTGAGCACCGCCGCCCTGCGCCAAGACACCGCCACCGTCGCCACCATCGCCAGAGACGCTCGCAACGCCTGTCCGTACAGGAGGCGTTGGGAGCGCCATCACCCACAGTCGGCCACTCAGTACCAGATCGGACGGCTACTCAGGCGGATGATTCTCCAGAAATCATCTACTAACTTTCTTTCTTTTGGGCCTTTTTCTGGTGTCCGGTGCTTAGCTTGGGCGGTGGGTTGTGGCAGATGTTTAGCTGCCATTTTTTGTCGTTATTTTTTTTGTTAGGCTGCGACATTGTTTACACGGAAGACGGAGAGGGGCCGGCAGATGCATGTGCTCCTTTTCCACGAGCGATGAATTAAGTTATCTCCTTCACCCCTTTTGTTTGGTCTTTTTTTTCTCTTTTGTATATTTTCATTCATTCCCTGATACCCATAGATATGGGAGTATTTTTTCAATTCCAGTAGTATGGATCAAATAGAGTTTTCCAGTAGCAGATATAACTAGCGGAAATTCTTCGTAGTTTAGATCTAGGTGTTTTTTTTGTTCTTTTGTGTTCTTATTCAACTAGCTTTTTAATTTTGCTCGAAAAAAGTAGGGAGTTACATTTTTGTGTTTTTTAGAATTCTTTTGGACATATCTTTGCACGTTGCATGGTTGCAATTGTCTTCCAACACGAATTGCAACCATGTCCTGCTCGCAAAATTGCATGCCTCCCAACAAGAATGCAACTGAACTTTGTTTTTGTTAGAGGGGCTGGGAGAGGTGGGGGCAATTGCATGTGTACACTACACATGCAATTGCATGTCTTCTAACACGGATGCAACTTGACTTTGTTTTGTCGGAGGGGTGGCGGGAGGGGGAATTGTTGCATGTGTATATTAGGCATGCATTTGCAACCATCAACCCAGACTGCAATTGCATGTCTTCCAATGCG